CCCTCTCCCTCTCTCTCTCTCTCCCTCTCCCCCTCTCTCTCGCTCTCTCCCTCTCCCTCTCCCCCTCTCTCTTCCTCTCTCCCTCTTCCTCTCTCTCCCTCTCCCTCTCCCCCTCTCTCCCTCTCTCTCTCTTCCTCTCTCTCTCTCGCCATTTTCTCTGTGCTAGCCATGGCCCTATACTAAAACACTTGACATTTTAGTAATTTAGCAGATGCTCTTATCCAGAGCGACTTACAGGAGCAATTTTGAGTGTATTGAGGAGGGATGAGTGTAGGCTTCAAATAAAATAAAATGCTATTTGCCACATGCACCGAATATAACAGGTGTAGACCTTACTGTGAAATGTTTACTTACGAGCCCTTAACCAACAATGCAGAGTTTTAACAAATTAAGAAACATTTGCTAAAAGGTAAAATAGTAACACAATAAAATAACAATAACGAGGCTATAGACAAATAGGTGTGATGAGCTTGGAGGGCACTATTGTGTTGAACGCTGAGCTGTAGTCAATGAACAGCATTCTCACGTAGGTGTTCTTTTTGTTCAGGTGGGAAAGGGCAGTGTAGAGTGCAATAGAGATTGTGTCATCTGTAGATCTGTTGGGGCGGTATGCGAATTGGAGTCGGTCCAGGGTTTCTGGGATGTTTCAAAGAATTTCATGGCTACAGATGTGAGTGGTACGGGGTGGTAGTCATTTAGACAGGTTACCTTGGCTTCTTGGGCACAGGGACTATGGTGGTCTGCTTGAAACATGTAGGTATTATGGACTGGGTCAGGGAGAGGTTGAAAATCACAGCAAAGACACTTGCCAACTGGTCAGCGCATGCTCTGAGTACATGTCTTGTAATCCTTCTGGCCCTGCGGCCTTGTGAATGTTAACAGGAGCCCATAAAACGGCAGTCATCCCCTCCGGCTCCATTCTATCATCCATTATTTCCGTGCCTGAATTCTCACATCACACATGGGTTGGATGACAAACTGACAGACATGTTAAAGCCAGCCCATCCCTCTCTTTATTGCCATGAGAGACCTGCCTCCCTGCATAACTCAACTGTTGTGGATAATGCTGAGGAATTATGAGTAGTATTTCCTCCGTTGAGCCAACAGGTCCAGGCAGGGTGCTGCTACAGTGCACCCACCTTTCTCCCCCAGGGGGAGGGAGGGCCGCAGAGGGAATACCACCCCTGTTCGTTCCACCGTTCCACCCTTCTACCCTTCCTCCTTTCTTTATGAGGCATGTCACAGAGCATAATGAGGCAGAACTTCTTCAAAGGATTTGAAAAAATACCAAAAAGGACAAACAAAATCCCTCTTCAGTGTAGGAGTGGAGGCGCTCAAGTTTCAAGTTTTATTTGTCACATACACAAGTAGGCTACAGTGAAATGCTTTACTTGCAAGCCCTCCCCAACAGTGCAGTATTCAATATATAAAAAAAGTACAACTAATAAGAGAATAAAGTCAGTGCCAGTACCAAATGTACAATGTGCAGGGATACCGCAGTCTTAACGTAGATATGTACATGTAGGCAGAGGCTAGGAGAAAGTCACTGGTAGCAGGATAAATATTTATAATAGTAAACTGTATGGCAGCAGCATAAGTAGTGGGTGTGTGTGTGTGTGGTGGTGAGTGGGCGTGTGTTAGTGTGAGTGTTTGACTGTGTGAATGTCAGTGTAGGCGTGATAGGTGGATATACATGTAAACAGGGCTTCAAAGTGACTGGTAGCAGGAATATATAAATACTATGGTAATATACTAATGGTAATATATACATGTAAACAGGAGTAATAGTGACCAGTAGCAGGATAAATAGATAGATACTAATGGTAATGGCAATAAATAATCAATGAACAGCAGCGTAGTGGTAGTAATAAATCAAATCAATAATCACTTTAGCAGCAGCGTAGGTGTGAGGGGGAGCAGTAGTTGTTAGCCATTTAACAGTCTTATGGCCAGGGGATAGAAGCTGTTGAGGAGTCTGTTGATCTGAGCCTTGATGCACCGGTACCGCCTGCCAGACGGGAGCTCAGGGTAAAGACTCCCATGGAATGATTTACTCTTTTGTAATTAGCATGCGGAAGTCAAAGACTTCAAACAGCCATTAAAGCCAGGGTATTATTTGTTATTATTTGCATTAATCCGTGACTATTTCCAGTCACTGCATATCTGTTACTGCTTTAAATCCCTCTTTCCCCCGGCCTAGCTTATCAGCTGTGATAATAGAGTTAGACGTCTGTATTTTGATCCAATTTGTTGCTACGCCCGCCTCGGTTTTTAGATTTGCTCTTCTTACAAGGTTTTCTCTTTCATCATGGTGACTGACCACTCTCTAACTGTTTACAGTATCAAAGCCAACATGTTTTAAGTGGGGAGATAAAGCCAGCTAGAAAAAACAGTGTAACGAACACAAGCATTTCTGATTATCTCTGACCTTGAACACACACAGCTTTATTTTAATTATTCCACTCCATCACAGATTTACTAATGACATAGCACAATAATAAGTATGTAATTGCTCTTCCTGTGATTCAGAAATAGAAAGTAGCCTGACAACTAAAGCTCAATGTTTATCCCAACACAAATGATCATCTGTGCTTGGTGTCAGTGTAGGCCTATAGGTAGAATAACAGCTGTAGTGGATGCCACCATCTAGTGGTCAATAGGGATACTACATCATGCTGTAAAAACAGTCACTTCAGCACAAGCAACAACTACACTTGTGTTTCCCAAACCTTTCCTCGAGTAGGCTACCCCCAGCCTGTTATTTGAATGCATTCCAGAACTAGCGCTGCTGATTCAACTAATGAAGGGCTTGATGATTAGGTGACCATTAGAATCAGCAGTGCTAGTTCTGGGATACATCAAAGACATGGACTGACTGGGGTACTCCAGGAGACCTTTGGGAAGCACTACCAAACAGATTGAAATGGTGGAAAATATACAACATACACAGAATACAACATATGCCCTTCCTGTGATTTCATTATCTATAAGGTACTAGAGTTCAAACTGTGTGTGTATAGGCAAAGCCCCCAAATAAGTAATTCATTAAAGGACTCAATGGAGGATTATTGCAGTTGTCACTGATGCATGGGAAAGCCTTGCAACTCGAGGCCCACCATTGATTTCAAATACAGATTATTTCCTCTTGAAGGGGATTATTTCTATAAATATTTACCGCTTGATGAAATAGAATTGTAGACACAGGGAAGTTTAGGCCTTTTCTAAACAAGGAAGTCTTTGCCAGTTGTTGTGATCTGGGGGACAATTCACCAATATTGTACAAACATTCGCCTATTTAGAGGGAACATTTCTACAATGTCTACAGCATGCAGTGTAATCAGTCAGTCTTACATTAACTCAAACACAAAGACTAGTTTCATGGTAGTTTTAATTTCAACATTCAACATAATTATTCATGTTTTACCAGAAATAAATTATATGTCTGGAGAATGCAACTTATATTATGGCCAACATAATAGTCACTATTATTATAAAATACAAGGCATCTCACAACAGATCATTTCCATTGTAGAGCCTACACGTCCCGTAATGTAATGTTTTGGGGTATTGGAGTAGTTAGGGTGAGGGACTGGGGGTAAGGGGTGTACAGAACTTGATCACAGCAAAACTCTCAATTGAGGTATATTTGGTAACACTTTATTTGAAATGTACTGTACGTTACAACAGTGTCATAATGTTGTAATATAATAAAAGAAAAATTAACAAAGTGTTACTGGATATTTTCTGACTGACAGGGGGATGACTGTGATGATACCTCACATCCTGTGATGATCCCTCACATCCTGTGATGATCCCTCACATCCTGTGATGATCCCTCACATCCTGTGATGATACCTCACATCCTGTGATGATCCCTCACATCCTGTGATGACTTCATGGGCTTCATTAATAGTGCTAGTAGTAACGGACGGTTATGATTCGAGTCCAACAAAGATTTCCCAGGCCAGGTGTTATAAAGTCCTTTTCCATCTGAGCAGTGACCACACAGACACAACACCTTATCTTGCTGATGATTCCTGGACACCAGGACAAACTTCATGAGTTTGCCATAGAAATAGAACCCATAGAAATATAATCAATTCTATTATTAGTATATGCAGGATTCTATGATCCTATTTCTATGGTGGAACCATCGTATGGGTCGTTCCGTCGCCATATCATAAACAAAGTCCACATTCTGGCTCAGACTGTCTGTCTCTGTCATGCTACCATGTAAGAAACACACGGTACAGACTCTCAGAAGAACTTCACTGGCTGACAGGAAACTGTAGATGCCATCCTGGCCCGTTGTACTCTAGAATCTCTGATGTGGAACGGCAAACAAATACAAATCAACAACAACAATGTAAAAGGTTTTCCTATGGCACAAAGTATAAATCACTATTTGCAAGCTCTGTGGATAAGAGTTCATATCCTTTAGCGTGAGCTCAGCTAGCTTGGTGGTGGGGATGGTCCATTATAAAGCTGGGGAGCAAAGTGGGACAGTTCCTTGTTTGCCTCCACCATAGCTGAAGATCAGGAAAAAGACTGCCTTCCTCTTCTTTATGTCTGGGGAGATGCAGCGCCATCTTCTGCTTCTCTTCGCAGCCTTTTTGTACAATTGCTTCCTCAGCGTCTCGCTCCACATTTAAAGTGTCCAAAGACTCCCCTATCATATCAACACGTACAATCACATGCAATAGTACACTGGGCAAATAAAAACCATGGGTTAGGTTATACATTTATATAAATGTATACATATAAATTCATATACTTTCAGGAATGTTAATCTGTTTTGTTATTTTTTTAGGTACAAAATAACTTCTCATATGACACAATAATATAAAACATATTAAAACAATGATCAAGTCTCTTCTTAAAAAAAAAATTCCATAATAAAAATAAGTTCTATGTTTTATTTTACAATATATTTTCTTTTTGGTCTCTGGCAGAAGGTCCCTTATTTTGTTTGTGGTTGTATCCATGTGGATATCTGGATATTACAATGGGCACTTGGCACAGCCACACTCCAGGGTGGTTTCCATCTCCTCAGAGAATGAGCTCCCGTCGGTGCATTTGAAGACCACTTTCCGCCTCCGGCTCTTGGATGGGGCGCAGCAGAGGCCTCCGTTGCAGGCGCGGGGACACTCCACCCGGGGGATCTTACTGGTGGAGGTGCATGTCTTCATGGGCTGGTGGCGCTTCAGCAGCTCACGCACCGCCTCTCCCTGGCACGTCAGATCTAATAGAGGTCAATGGGAGAGCTTCACAGTAACTTATTTCATTCTGACATGGATGATTTCAGATTCTATAGCCTATTATTACTATGGACCTCTGAGAGTCAAGTTTCTGTATGCAGTAGAATGTCCATACAGAAACAGTTTCTTTATGTTGGAAACAGCCTAGGTGCGTGTGTATTCCTCTCACCTGTGGCACAGGCAGGGCCAGTGTAGCCCGGCTGGCAGTGGCAGGAGCGCTCCCCACTCTCTGTGACCCTACACTCCCCGTGTCCACACTGGTGTCCCCTACAGGCTTGAGGCTCCTCTCTCCTGTCACAGTATTGCCCTGTGTAGCCCTCAGCACACTGACAACTGTAGGATGATGCCTTAGGCACACACAGCCCATGGATACACCTGGAACAAAGAGGTTTACAGTTCATGTGAGGAATAGTCATGTATGTGTGTTTAATAATTAATCCACGTTGAGTACATATTATTCATATTTTATAACATTATTAAACATGAGCAAGTGTAAAAGCATGAGTCCATTTGTATGTGTGTGAATATAGTAATGTGTTGAGGATGAGGATCATTATGAATTAATTAGTTATGATTAAAAGCCTATGTTGAGGTGTCTTGGATATGTAGCTGTTAGACAGGCCATACCTGCTGCTCTGACAGGGGCTGGTGGTGGTCTGATATGTAGCTGTTAGACAGGCCATACCTGCTGCTCTGACAGGGGCTGGTGGTGGTCTGATATGTAGCTGTTAGACAGGCCATACCAGCTGCTCTGACAGGGGCTGGTGGTGGTCTGATATGTAGCTGTTAGACAGGCCATACCAGCTGCTCTGACAGGGGCTGGTGGTGGTCTGATATGTAGCTGTTAGACAGGCCATACCAGCTGCTCTGACAGGGGCTGGTGGTGGTCTGATATGTAGCTGTTAGACAGGCCATACCTGCTGCTCTGACAGGGGCTGGTGGTGGTCTGATATGTAGCTGTTAGACAGGCCATACCAGCTGCTCTGACAGGGGCTGGTGGTGGTCTGATATGTAGCTGTTAGACAGGCCATACCAGCTGCTCTGACAGGGGCTGGTGGTGGTCTGATATGTAGCTGTTAGACAGGCCATACCAGCTGCTCTGACAGGGGCTGGTGGTGGTCTGATATGTAGCTGTTAGACAGGCCATACCTGCTGCTCTGACAGGGGCTGGTGGTGGTCTGATATGTAGCTGTTAGACAGGCCATACCTGCTGCTCTGACAGGGGCTGGTGGTGGTCTGATATGTAGCTGTTAGACAGGCCATACCAGCTGCTCTGACAGGGGCTGGTGGTGGTCTGATATGTAGCTGTTAGACAGGCCATACCTGCTGCTCTGACAGGGGCTGGTGGTGGTCTGATATTACTGTTAGACAGGCCATACCAGCTGCTGACGGGGTGGTGGTGGTCTGATATGAGCTGTAGACAGGCCATACCTGCTGCTCGACAGGGGCTGGTGGTGGTCTGATATGAGCGTTAGACAGGCCAACCAGCTGCTCTGACAGGGGCTGGTGGGGCTATATGTAGCTGTAGACAGGCCTACCAGCTGCTCTGACAGGGCGTGGTCGTTGATCTGTAGCTGTTGCAGGCATACCTGTCTGACAGGGGCCTGGGGGTGGTCTGTGGTAGCTGTAAGACAGGCCATACCTGCTATGTAGTGTTAGGACAGGCCAATACCAGCTGCTCTGACCAGGGGTGGTGGTGGTCTGATATGTAGCTGTAGACAGGCCATAACTGATGCTCTGACAGGGGCTGGTGGTGGTCTTCTGGTCACAGAGGGGTCCACTGCGGCTGGGTGGGCACTCGCAGGACACACCCGTGTCGCCTGTCTGTCTGCAGGCGCCCTGGGCACACACGCTGCAGGAGTGGCAGCCTGGCAGGATGCCTTCCACCCTGCGTGGTGCTGCCCCCAGATCCTGGAGCTCTCCGTTGATCCTGACGTTGTGGATGCAGCCGTTGAAGGCCTGGGGGCTGCGGTCGGGACCTGAACGCAGGCCTGATGCCACCACTGCTGAGGGCACGCCTGGAGGGGAGGAAGAGGGGGGAGGTGGAGGAGGTGGGGGAGGAGGCGGAGGGGGAGGGGGAGGAGGGGAGGGATGGATGGAAGAAAAAGGGTGTTTTATTATTATGACATTCTGGTTTGATGGCCTGACATTTCATCGGTTGACCAGTTTCAATTTGAAATGTAAATATCTGTAGGTATGCACAGTGTAGATTCTTCTGTGTGTTTTTTAAGGAGTAATGGGTCCGTTCAGGTATATGTGCTATATGGGTCTCTGTTTACCTCCTATGTAGAGCTGTGTGCTGTGGTCCACAGAGGGCTGGCGGGGCAGCTTGCCGAGCTTCTTGGGGGCTCCCTTGTCCACCACCAGGCTCAGAGAGTGGTTCTGAATCAGGAGCTCCACCGTGTGGAATAGACCGTCATTCACAGACTCAACACTTTTAAGAGAGAGGAGAGAGAGAGAGAGAGGAGAGAGAGAGAGAGAGAGAGAGAGAGAGGAGAGAGAGAGAGAGAGAGAGAGAGAGAGAGAGAGAGAGAGACATTAGATATATTGTAGTAGTATAAGAGTTCTTATAGAATGTATAATTTTTATGGATATACAGTATACCAAAAAAATGTCCATTGAAAAAAGGTACAACGAAACGCAGCTAATTTGTAGTCTTTCCAGCTTCAGTTTGAAGTGATTGTGTTACTGTAGCTGTGTTGTTGGCTAGCTCCTCTGAACAACAGTGTCCTGACGAGTGAGCACATTCTCTACGCCAGGCAAAATCGCGCCTCATTAGCTCATTGTTATGGATGTATCCAAATAAATGTCACTAGAAAACAGCTTAAACAAATGCAAATGCATCTACTTTGCTGTTATTCTGGCAGAACTTTTAGACGTGACTGTAAGTTAGCCGTAGTTGGCTAGCTAGCAAGCAAGGGATAAGAACGTTGCCAGCCAGTATGGCAATGGAACATTTAGAACTAACGACTGGGTCTCGTGTATAGATACAGAACAAAAAGACTGAACGACTGGGTCGCGTCCATAGATACAGAACAAAAAGAACGAACGACTGGGTCGCGTCTCTAGAAACCCTAGATTTGTGTTGGGACTATATCTTGTGGAAGGATGAAATAGCACAAATAAATTAATCAAAATAACATTTTTAATGATGGTAACCCGTTGTATAAAAGTGATAATGCCCTCGAAGCCGGTGTTTGTTGGATATATTGGCACCCAAGCCAATGTATGCAACAAACACCGGCTTCTCTGGCATTATCACTTAAGAAGAAAACACCTATTGAAGGACAAATTGAGTAGAAGGAGACTGCTTTCTCTAAAGGATCTCACACAAGATTCTATGTCAGTTTAATTGTTCGAGAGCCCTTGTTTGGTTTATTAAGGAGAGCAGTGTTGAATGCTTTCCTTGGGTGTGATTCTATGCAGCCATGCGGTTTGAGACCTCTCACACACGTACTGTGTGGACAGTGAGAGCACTGTGAGTGCCGGGACACGTGTGATGGCTCCACTCTGGCCCTGTGAACAATAGCAGCACTCTGGAGGTAGCCTCGTTGCGAAACAGACTTCCTTAAAACAGGAAGGCGTGACAACGACGTGATTTTGGAGGCATGGCAACGCGAGAATACTCGGGAGGAGACCAGTGTGTGTGTCCTCCGGAGAGCGATTGCCTTTCACACTACTCATGTTTAAAACATGGCAGGGCACTCTCTGCCTCATCACACTGAGCCCGCAAAACCCTCTCCAAAGCAGAAAAAACTACTGGAATAGCAAGCAATGATGCTGGTGGCTTCAGGCTGAGTCAGATTATTTTGGCCCAGGAGCACAAGTCCGTTTCACAATGATAATAGGCCTGTTGCTGTCCGACAGCTCCAGTTCCCATACTGACTGACTGCTGTGTACAGAACAGGCTGTACTGCCTCTGGGCTCGCCTAGTTACTGCTGGGTAATTGTGTTTGGTCTAAGGGTTGATACAACAGTAGCCTGGGGTCTGAATACCTGACCACTGTGACTGACCCAAAATTAAGGAAAGCTTTGACTATGTACAGACTCAGTGAGCATAGCCTTGCTATTGAGAAAGGCCGCAGTTGGCAGACCTGGCTCTCAAGAGAAGACAGGCTATGTGCACACTGCCCACAAAATGAGGTGGAAACTGAGCTGCACTTCCTAACCTCCTGCTAAATGTATGACCATATTAGAGAGACATATTTCCCTCAGATTACACAGACCCACAAAGAATTCGAAAAACAAATCCAATTTTGATAAACTCCCATATCTATTGGATGAAATACCACAGTGTGCAATCACAGCAGCAAGATTTGTGACCTGTTGCCATAAGAAAAGGGCAACCAGTGAAGAACAAACACCATTGTAAATACAACCCATATTTATGTTGATTTATTTTCCCCTTTGTATTTTAACTATTTGCACATCGTTACAACACTGTATATAGCCATAATATGATATTTGAAATGTCTCTATTCATTTGGAACTTTTGTGAGTGTGTCACGATCGTCATAATGAGTGGACCAAGGCGCAGCGTGATATGCGTACATCTTCTTTAATAGAGTACTGGCAACACGATACAAAAATACAAAACAACAAAACGAAACGTGAAGTCCTCGGTTAACAAACACAAACCTACACGGAACACAAGTGCACAACAGGCTGCCTAAGTATGGTTCCCAATCAGAGACAACAAGCAACAGCTGATTCTCGTTGCCTCTGATTGAGAACCACCCCGGCCAACCTAGAAAACACATGAACTAGAAACTGAACATAGAACACAAAACATAGACACTACACAAAGAAACTAACACCCTGGCTCAACATACAAGAGTCCCCAGAGCCAGGGCGTGACAGTACCCCCCCCAAAGGCGCGGACTGCGACAACATAAACCCAACAGGGGAGGGGCCGGGTGGGCATTCCTCCTCGGAGGCGGATCCGGCTCCGGGCGTGACCACCACCCACTAACAACCCCCCCGTAGCGCCCCTGGTCTGGTCTGGCCCCGCTGGCTGGAGCTGGACTGGACATCGGTGGAGCGGATTGCTTAGGCTCCGGTGTGGACCAGGCACCGGTGAAACAGGCACGGGCTGTGCCGGACTGACGACGCGCACCACAGGCTTGGTGCGGAGAGCAGGAACGGGCCGGACCGGGCTGACGACGCGCACCATTGGCTTGGTGCGGGGAGCAGGAATGGGCCGGACCGGGCTGACGAAGCGCACCACTGGCTTGGTGCGAGGGGCAGGAACAGGCGGGGCCGGGCTGGCGACGCGCACCATAGGCTTGGTGCGGGGAGCAGGAACAGGCCGGGCCGGGCTGGCGACGCGCACCACAGGCTTTGTGCGGGGAGCAGGAACGGGCCGGGCCGGGCTGGCGACGCGCACCACAGGCTTGGTGCGGGGAGCAGGAACAGGCCGGGCCGGGCTGGCGACGCGCACCATAGGCTTGGTGCGGGGAGCAGGAACAGGCCGGGCCGGGCTGGCGACGCGCACCATTGGCTTGGTGCGAGGGGCAGGAACAGGCCGGGCCGGGCTGGCGACGCGCACCACAGGCTTGGTGCGGGGAGCAGGAACAGGCCGGGCCGGGCTGGCGACGCGCACCATAGGCTTGGTGCGGGGAGCAGGAACAGGCCGGGCCGGGCTGGCGAGACGGACTGGAGGTCTGGAGCGAAGAGCTGACACAACCCGTCCTGGCTGAATGCCTATTTTTACACACACTGTGTGAGGCATCAGCACAGGACATACAGGGCTGTGTACTCGTACTGGCACTACAGCACGTGACACTGGCGCAGGATATCCGGGACCGAGGAGGGGCACTGGAGGCCACGAGTGTTGAGCCGGCACACTCCGTCCTGGCTGCATGCCCACCTTAGCACGACACGTGCGTGGTGCTCGCACAGGACGTACCGGACTGTGCCGGACCACTCGCGGCACAGTACGCAGCTCCGCATACCTCGGAACCTGCCCAGTCTCACGCTGTCTAGCCTGAGTACGGGGAGTTGGCTCTGCTCTACCTCTAGGCTCCGCCAACCTCCCTTCCAGCCCCCCAAACCCGGTGGCCTCCTCTCCTAATCCCCAAACTCGCCCTGTAGCTGCCTCCAGCAGCCCCGTCGTCCATGCCGTGTGCCCCCCCCCCAAAAAAATTATTGGGGTTGCCTCTTGCGTGTCCGACGTCGGCCCGGTTGGCGCCGCTGCTCCTCTCTATGGCGCGCCTCCACCGTCTCCTCCCAAGGACGGCGATCCATCCCGGCCTGGATCTCCTCCCAAGTCCAGGACCCCTTCCCGTCCAAAATCTCCTCCCAAGTCCAGGCTGTCTGCTCCTGGACACGCTGCTTGGTCCTGTTTTGGTGGGATCTTCTGTCACGATCGTCATAATGAGTGGACCAAGGCGCAGCGTGATATGCGTACATCTTCTTTAATAGAGTACTGGCAACACGATACAAAAATATAAAACAACAAAACGAAACGAAACGTGAAGTCCTCGGTTAACAAACACAAACCTACACGGAACAAGATCCCACAAAACACAAGTGCACAACAGGCTGCCTAAGTATGGTTCCCAATCAGAGACAACAAGCAACAGCTGATTCTCGTTGCCTCTGATTGAGAACCACCCCGGCCAACCTAGAAAACACATGAACTAGAAACTGAACATAGAACACAAAACATAGACACTACACAAAGAAACTAACACCCTGGCTCAACATACAAGAGTCCCCAGAGCCAGGGCGTGACAGAGTGTAATGTTACTGTTCATTTTATATTGTTTATTTCACTTTTGTTTTTATCTATTTCACGTGCTTTGGCAATGATAAAGCCATTTGAATTGAGAGAGAGAGAGAGAGAGAGAGAGTGAGAGAGAGAGAGAGAGCGCCAACAAGCATAGGGTCTGTGTGGTGAAGTTGAGTGCAGCTCAAAACTAGCTCTTCCTATCCTTACCGCTGTTGGGTTGTGGTCTAAAAACAGCAAGGCTCTCCCCTACTGCAGCTCTCCTATTGGCTGATTGTTAAAAACGTTTGATTGACAGTTCCTGCAGTGGTTCAATGACCGCATTATTACATTAACAGCCAGTAAAAAGGTAGTGTTAGTTCCATAGCCGTGGTAAGTAGGGGTGCTGAGGGTGCTGCAGCACCCCCTGAAAAATCATGTTAATAAAAATAATTAACAAAACATTTATATATTTTTTTCTTCACATAAGTAGTTCACTGGGCCTTTACTCATCCTGTATTAGAGCGGTCCGATATAGCACTACAGAGCTGAGATGACAGGTAAAGGACACACAGCCCTACACAACTCAACACTCCGCCGGGGATGTTTCAGTACAAAAGGTCTGGGCTCAACAAAGAGCTAACACAGACGCAGGCAGCAGGCAGGCAGGCAGGCAGGCGGCAGGCGGCAGGCAGGCAGGCAGGCAGGCAGCAGGCAGGCAAGCAGGCAGGCAGCAGGCAGGCAAGCAGGCAGGCAGGCAGGTAGCAGGCAGGCAGGCAAGCAGGCAGGCAGGCAGGCAGGCAGGCAGGCATCATGTGTGGTTTGCATTATGGGCCCGTAATTTCAATCCAATCTGAAAACAGGCCCTTTGCAACTAACACAACGGTCAGCCTGCCTGCAAAGACCCCACTTCCGCCTCAATTCAATACATGGAAGTCCGGCTTTATTACACTTTAATGACATTTTCATCCAGTGTCTCTGGTTTTGACAGCAGTCACTCGTTACTGAAACCCACATGCACATCCTGGCTAAGGGGGAGTAGCAGGGAAGAGGGGAGCATAGAGGTCTAGGAAAAAATGTCAAGAGGCTTACTTCTGTTTTTATCTATTTTAAATGGCAAACCTGACAACAAGGTGTTAATGCTCTCTGGGAAATAAGTGTGAAGTGGTACTAGGTGTTCGACAGAGGAGCTCCCATCCTGCTATGATACCCTATGACCACAGAGGGACAGCAGAGGTCCAGTCTAGGAAGGTGAATCGTGTAGCTCAGCCCTCCAACCTTTGCCAATATTGGGCTTTGTCTGTGTTTTGACAAGCTGAAGTTTTCCAGAGGCAATGCTATTTTTCGAGGGGGACATGGTGTGCCCAGCCTGCATATTAGCTTAAAGCAGCCCATTATGGAATTCAATAAAAGCGATCAGAAAGCTGTGGCAGATTTCAGCAGCCCCCTGCACGTCGACAAGGGGAAGTACATTTCCTGTCAGCAGAGAATCAAATACTCCATCTTCCTCTCTTTACCAAACCACATTATAAAATTATACAAACTTACTGGTTGCCTTCATCGGAGAAAGATATCTTGAACCAGCTACCCTGTAGATCCTATTTACATTTCAACATTTAATTACCCAGCGCTATCATTTGCTTACAATGTAGCCCTAACCAGACTGGTTTAAATTGATGTTTTGCAGACAACCAACAAAGTTCCAGATTGCAGCTGTAAGCAACCTCAATTAAGTTTCCTTAGAAGCACACTAGTGAACTACAAGCTTGTTTAGTGTATGGGGTCTGAGGAATGGGGGGATGTTGCCTGGCTGGCTACTCTTAGGGATAGCTAGGTCTAACAGCAGCTATCTAAACCATCTTAATGGCTGGGGCTAGCTAGGTCTAACAGCAGCTATCTAAACCATCTTAATGGCTGGGGCTAGCTAGGTGCAAAAAAACACAACAGTGTTGTCAGCTATGCCCTTGAATGGACTTGACTCCAGCTTCCCAGAGACAGGGAGCTAAACATGGTCTAAACACACCGGTCTCATGGTCTCCTTTAGGGTTCCTGGCGGTGGTGGTGTATCCACCAGCCAGACGTCACACTCCATTCTCCTGACCTCTGTGGAACAATTGGCACCTTATTCACTATATAGGGAATAGGGTTCCATTTGGGACTCAGCCTCTGTCTACAGGAGCCGGAGCCACAAGCTCACTACACAGCTGAGTTACGGCCCGGTCCAGTGACTCCACTGTCTGATTCTGTCTGCATCTGTTCTGTCTGGGACTGTTCTGTCTGGGTCTGATCTGTCTGGGACTGTTCTGTCTGGGACTGATCTGTCTGGGACTGTTCTGTCTGGGTCTGATTTGTCTGGGTCTGATCTGTCTGGGTCTGATCTGTCTGGGACTGTTCTGTCTGGGTCTGATCTGTCTGGGACTGTTCTGTCTGGGTCTGATCTGTCTGGGTCTGATCTGTCTGGGTCTGATCTGTCTGGGTCTGATCTGTCTGGGACTGTTCTGTCTGGGTCTGATCTGTCTGGGACTGTTCTGTCTGGGTCTGATCTGTCTGGGTCTGTTCTGTCTGGGACTGTTCTGTCTGGGTCTGATCTGTCTGCTCTCAGAGATGACTGCTGGCTTTACTGTTGCAGCAGCTCTCTCTCTCTCTCTCTCCTCTCTGCAGCCTCTACCAGTAGCCCCACTTTGTTCATAAGCTACCTGTCCTCTTCTCTCTTCTCCTCTCATCTCCTCTCCTCTGTGACTCAGCCCATAAAAGTCTCTCCACTCAGCTCTCACGTGGCATTCAGCTCACAAAGAGCCATCTTGTGCTGACGCTGAGTGGAGCAGAGAAAAGAGACGCGAGAGAGACACTTTGACCGCCTCTATAGGCTCTTTTCCACTGCTCTAAATCACAGTGACATGGCAGGCAAGGGCTGGCTGCTTTCTGAAGGGTACCTACCAATACAGATAGTGTAGGCGTGGCAGTGGATGGCTGAACCTAGAAAGAGTGGGAGGGAATTGGGTAGTGATTGAAACGCTCTCGTTACATTTTCTGTGATGTTTCTACACTCCCCATCAAACCCTCTCTAATCTTCTGTGATGTTTCTACACTCCCCATCAAACCCTCTCCAATCTTCTGTGATGTTTCTATGCTCCTTTTCCTCTTCCTCTATCCCTCTCTCCTGAATAATGTCAGATGAGGTCCATTAGACTAATAGAGGGATTACTGTGGTATTTGGTAAAGGGCAGGACATTAACACAGTGAGGACCCAGGCATTCATCTGACAGTAATGAGGCCTCTACTCTGCCACCTCCATCCTCCTCCTGTCCCTCTCTCTCTCTTCTCTCCCTCTCTCCCCCATTGTGTGAGGGAGGTTAGGTCTGGACAGATGAGTGCTTCACCCCCCACCTTCACATCACTTGACTAGACCACCCTCTGTCCACTCCCACTTCTCCTTCCTGTTTTTCTCACCGCTCTCTCTTCTCCTCTACCCTCTCACCAGCAGCCCTTCATTCCCACGTGAAACCCTCTCCTCCTCCATCTCCTCATCCTCTCCTAGCTGTGCTATCTCCTGTCTCCTCTCTCCTGTCTCCTAATATTGAGTTGCACCCCCCACTTTTGCTCTCAGAACAGCCTCAATTCATCGGGGGCATGCTCTACAAGGTGTCGAAAGCAGAGAGAGAGCGAGAGAGGAAAAGGGAGACGGAGAGAGAGAGGGAGAGAGAGAGCGAGGGAGTGAGAGGAAGAGAGAGAGAGTTCTCACCACACAGCTGGCTCCCCTCCCATGGACATGAGAAGCAGGGAGGGAGTCAGGGCAGATGGTGGCCAACTGTCTCTACGGCTATCAGCCAGACAGCTCTGCTTCATGTCACACAGACGCATAGATCACACTGGAGACTGGCACATTATTCTACAATGTTTCAATGTAACATACAGTGCATTCGGAAAGTATTCAGACCCCTTGACTTTTTCCACATTTTGTTATGTTACAGCCTTATTCTAAAATGGATGACATCCCCCCCCCCCCCATCAATCTACACACAATACCCCATTAGGACAAAGCAAAAACAGGTTTCTAGAAAAAACGGAAATATTACATTTACATAAGTATTCATACCCTTTACTCAGTAATTATTTTGAACCACCTTTGGCAGAGATTACAGCCTCAAGTCTTCTTGGGTATGACGGTACAAGCTTGGCACACCTGTATTTGGGGAGTTTCTCACATTCTTCTCTGCAGATCCTCTCAAGCTGTCAGGTTGGATGGGGAGCTTCGCTGCACAGCTATTTTCAGGTATCTCCAGAGATGTTCGATCGGGTTCAAGTCCGGGCTCTTGCTGGGCCACTCAACGACATTCAGAGACTTGTCCCGAAGCCACTCCTGCGTTGTCTTGGCTGTGTGCTTAGGGTCGTTGTCCTATTGGAAGGTGAACCTTCGCCCCAGCCTGAGGTCCTGAGTGCTCTGGAGCAGGTTTTCATCAAGGACCTCTCTGTACTTTTCTCCTTTCATCTTTCCCTCGATCCTGACTAGTCACCCAGTCCCTGCCGCTGAAAAACATCCACACAGCATGATGCTGCCCCCACCATGCTTCACGTAGAGATGGTACCAGGTTTCCTCCAGACGTGATGCTTGGCATTCAGGCCAAAGAGTTCAATATTGGTTTCATCAGACCAGAGAATCTTGTTTCTCATGGACTGAGAGTCTTTAGGTGCCTTTTGGCAAAGCGGGCTATAATGTGCCTTTTACTGAGGATTGGCTTCTGTCTGGCCACTCTACCATAAAGGCCTGATTGGTGGAGTGCTGCAGAGATGGTTGTCATTCTGGAAGGTTCTCCCATCTCCACAGAGGAACTCTGGAGCTCTGTCAGAGTGACCATCAGGTTCTTGGTCACCTCCCTGACCAAGGCCCTTCTCCCCCGATTGCTCAGTTTGGACGGGCGGCGAGCTCTAGGAAGAGTCTTGGTGGTTCCAAACTTCTTCCATTCAAGAATGATGGAGGCCACTGTGTTCCTGGGGACCTTCAATGCTTCAGAAATTTTTTGGTCCCCTTCCCCAGATCTGTGCCTCGACACAATCCTGTCTCGGAGCTCTACGGACAATTCCTTCGACCTCATGGCTTGGTTTTTGCTCTGACATGCACTGTCAACTGTGGGACCTTATATAGACAGGTGTGTGCCTTTCCAAATCATGTCCAATCAATTGAATTGACCACAGGTGGACACCAATCAAGTTGTAGAAACATCTCAAGGATGATCAATGGAAACAGGATGCACCTGAGCTCAATTTCGAGTCTCATAGCAAAGGGTCTGAATCCTTATGTAAATAAGGTATTTCTATTTTTATTTTTTTATAACTTTGCACAAAATTCGAAAAGCCTGTTTTCACTTTCTCGTTATGGAGTATTGTGTGTAGATTGATGAGGATTTTTATTTATTTAATCCATTTTAGAATAAGGCTGTAACGTAAACAAAATGTGGAAAAAGTCAAGGGGTCTTAACACTTTCCGAATGCGCTTTATACAGGACAGCCTCAATTCGTCGGGGCATGGACTCTACAAGGTATCTAAAGCGTTCCACAGGGATGCTGGCCCATGTTGACTCCACCACTTCCTACAGTTGTGTCAAGTTGGTTGGATGTCCTTTGGGTGGTGGACCATTCTTGATACACACGGGAAACTGTTGAGCGTGAAGAACACAGCAGTGGTGCAGTTCCTGACACAATCCGGTGCGCCTGGAACCTACTACCATAACCCATTCAAAGGCACTTACATTTTTTTGTCTTGCTCATTCACCCTCTGAATGGCGCACATACACAATCCATGTCTCAATTGTCTCAA